AATTTTTTTTTATTGAATAGAAAAAATTATTATCAAAATAATTTTTAGTTGCAGCCCTAATATTCTGTCTGCCAGCTGAGTGTAATGTGTGTCTTGTTTATACCTTGTAGGGATGCACCGATACTCGGTATCGGTGCCGATACCGAGTATTTGGGTGAGTACTCGTACTCGCCCAAATGCCCCGATACCTAGCACGAGTACTTCCTGTATCAGGAAGCCGGGCAGCGAATCATTACACGCTGCCCGGTTTCCTGATTGGCCGGGAAGTCGGCTCCATGTTCTCTCATCACAAGTGACGAGAGAGCATGGAGCCGTTTCCTGGCCAATCAGGAAGCAGGGTAGCGTGCAATGACGAGCTGCCGGCTTCCCGATTGGTCAGGAAGCTAGCAAATTCCGAACCCGGGCGCCGTGTAATGACGCAGCGCCCGGCATTCTGATTGGCCGGGAAGCCGGCGTCATGCTCTCTCGTCATCTCATAAATCATAATATTAAGAAAGTGACCTTTAAAGCATTAGTTTGTATTGCTTTAGAAAAAAATTGACCTGTCCCTTTAAGAAAAAGTATCGGTAATTGGTATCTGTGAGTACTTGATCAAAAGTATCGGTACTCGTACTCGGTCTTAAAGTGGTATCGGTGCATCCCTAATACCTTGAGAGCTTTAGTTTTTTTTCCCTCTAATAGATGGTGGGCACAATTAGACCTTCATCCCGGAGCCTTGTAAACCTGCAAGCGGTAATTGGTGAATATGGCACTGCGGTAATCCCCTGATACTCTTCAAGGATGTTTGTTGAGGAAATGTTATAAATATAAATGATAACGTAGCTTTCAAATGGCATTTCATATATCATTGTCTGCCAAGCAGCATGGCCGTATGTTGTCCGTGGCATTTAACACAGATTAAAAATTACTGGGTGACCCCGGTGTTGTGCTTACTTGGTCTTAATTTTTGAATGTTCATAACTTCCAGACTTCCCGCACCTCTACAGAGATACAACTGTGTCACTATTGTGCTGCATTTGTGGGCAATAGAAGATGACACAATGATGGTTATTTGTCTCTGGAATTATTGGAAGGCAGTCGGCTATATTTTTGGAGAATATCACTCGGTCACACCAGTGTTCTTTTTTTCTCTCTAATATCCCCCTTTCCTGTATTTTTAAAATGTAACTTTCAGGGCTTGTTCACACCAAATGCAGACCAGATCTGCACAAGTTTCTGCACACGCAGTGGGTTGTGCCACATTTTTTTATGCGTTCCGAGCCGTTTTTGGTAAAAAAACTTTTTTTTTTAGTTTTAAGGTGGGCTTTCAGTGCGTTTGCATGTGTTCTTGATGCATTTGCATGCGTTCCAGAGCAGGTAAAATGGTGCTTGCTGCAGCTTTTTTTACATGCTCTGGAATTGAACGCTGCGTTGTGAACTAGAGCCAACAATACCATTGGAATACATTGGACGCAGTTTTGATCCGGTCTGTAATTGCTCTGCTCCTGGAACGCACTTGGTGTGAACAATGCCTTAGTGAATAGACTGAAATTCTAACAGTGCATGGCCATCCAGTCTGGGGTTTGTTTACAAACATTGTCCCATCTTCCCCATAGCGATCTTCTCCCTTGCTACGCTTTAGCCCTCGTTCACACCTGAACGTTTTGTAGCGCGTTCTACGCTCGACGAACGCTCTACAAAACGCTCAAAAATATAAATCCCATTGTATTCAATGGTCTCGTTCCCACCTTGTCGTATTTCCGCCCGTCCCTAACACGCTACAAAACGGTCCACGCCTGAAAAGGTACATGTACTACTTTGGGCCGTTTTGTTGCGCGTTTCCATTGGGATACAGCCGAATCGCGGTAAAAAAACGTGCGCCGGCCGCGCATATGCAATATGCCTAGGTGTGAACGAGACCTTAGTGCAGTGTCACTTCGTCCGGCAAGATCAGCACCTCTGAGGCTGGATGTAAACATCGATGGAGCCTGTATTGCACCCACAACACACTGATCACAGTTGTAATGCTTTGCAGGCTTCAATGCACATTTATTATTTTATCAATTTGTATTTCAAAGGGTGGACTGCGCTTTTAAAGAGAGAAAACATGATGGTAATATTGTGTTTACGTTGTCTCAGAATGCCTGTCAATGCCTCCCTGTATGCCTATGTGTCATCTCCCATATTTTGACAGCCATGAATCATTGACTTCAGAGATGGGACATATCTTTTCCGGCAATTTCCAGTTCCCACCGGAATCCTCATCTCCAGATCCATTAAGGTATCGGGTTCAGTGCTGTGAATCTCTTGACGGCAAAAGTCGCCGGGAGTCTGTTTAAACAGCCCCGATGCTGGCGACGTACACTGTACGTCGTCAGTCACGAAGGGGTTAAAGGCCGCTAATGCACCTTCTGTCACCCTTCTTTGCACTCCCAGCCTTTAAAGAGGACCTGCTGCTGAAGTTGTGTGACAGGCAATTTTCCAAGATTGATCCATGTGCTAAAGACAAAGACTGCAACAAAATCCTTCTATTATTATATTTATCCAGCCCAGGTTACACTAAATTCAGAAGTTATATCTAAAAAATTAGAGATGCACAGATACTGATACTACTATCAGTATTGGTGCCGATCGCCCAAATGCTCTGGTGCCTAGCCCGATGCTTCCGGTATCAGGCAGCGTGTCATTACACGCTGCCCGGCTGTCTGATTGGCCAGAAAGCCGGCTTCATGCTCCCGCATCACCTCATGACGAGGGAGCATGGAGCCGGCTTACCAGCCAATCAGGAAGCCAGGCGCCGCATCATTACATGGCGCCCGTCTTCCTGATTGGCCAGAAAGCCGGATCCATGCCTTCTTGTCACCTAGTGACGAGAAGCATGGGGGCGGCTTCCCTGCTAATCGAAACGCCATCTGGCGAATCTTTACACGCTGCCTGGTTTCCTGTATGGGTATTTGGTATCTGTGAGTACTGAAAAAAATATCCGTACTCGATACCAAAATACCGGTATCAGTGCATCCCTATAAAAAATACATTTAAAGCACCTTAACTATTAAATACTTTTGTTCCCCGTGTGTGTTGTGAAGTAGTCACCGCTCCAAGCTCACTTCCAGGGTGGACTACAATCTCAATACAAATCTAAACTAAACATGAATAGAAAGATGTAACTGATATGAAGTGTTGTGCCAACTTGGCTGCAAAAGTCCCCACTAATCTTTGTTTTGTTTGTTTTTGGATAATCCCAATGCAGAGGCAATTTCCTGTGTTGTTGTTTTAGTTCAGGACACAGCAGAATCTTCCATGCCTGTTCTGTTTGTTTTCAGTGAAAATACAGAGAGATAGGCCTGTCAGTCATGTGACCTTCATCAACCTTTTGACACTTGTTTAGATATCTGCCATGTTCCTAAATGGTGATGGATCACATGATTTCTGGTTATCAGGAGCTTTGTGAATGTTTCATGGTTCCAGGGACTGCAAAATTATTGATTTTTCCGTTTCAGTCATTTTTTTTTTTTTTTTTAAAGGGGGATCCAACGATGATTCCCAAGCAGGGGCAATGGATCAACATACAATTTGGGGGTATTTGGACTGTCCAGCTATGGGGACGGCATGATATAATTACTCATGATGGGAAGTCTGTTTTTATTTATGACTCATCCTGCCTGCTCAAATTGCAGAAAACTAAGAGAATCGGCAAGGTGCAAGTAGGTAGCGTATATAAAAAGCGAACACTGGCTACGCTGGCGTTGCAAGGGTTAACTGTGTATATGTCTAGGGGTTTTCTATGAAGGGCTTTCACTTATCTGGTCCTGCTGTCTCCAAGACTGGCACCCGCAGCTTCTCTTACACCCAGCCCCCCCCTCGCCCTGGTGGTTGGAGGCTCGCTGGCATCAAGTGCAATGCATAGCCCCCCATTGACCTGCGTTATACACTGGGATGCCCAGGGACAGTCCACAAGCTGGAACGTAGGGAAGACTGAGTGCCGGGGCGTGAGGGGGATCGGAGATATATATATATATCTATATCTCTGCCCTTGCAGCGGGGGGTGGGGGGGGGCTACCTTTAACACTGAAGGTTAATACTGCTCATTTATATCTAGGCGTATTCTATAAAACACTTTTTTAATTATTATTTACTGGGAGATTTACTGTTTGTGTGTGAACATGTTTTTTAGTAAATGGGCCTCAGTGCATTTACCAATAATAAATAGACACAAGGTTTTTATACACATGAACACTGAAAATATTTACTTTAATATAACAAGTATACTTGTTGAAGTATACTTGTTGAAGTCCGGTGCTGTCTTGTGCACTCTTTATTTCACTTAGCGCTGTCCAGTACACCTGTATGTGTTACAGGACACCTCCTCCAGTGTTATAAAGATGAATAGAATGTGAGGTGTTCTGTAGCCCAATTCAGGAGCCAGCAGTCTAAGATGACAACTCTGCTCTTTCAAGAGGTGTTCTGTAGTCCTAACTCGCGTCTGTCCTAGGCTTCTCCAACACAGATACAGATTGCGTCGTCACCCTAATACAGTGGTACCTCGGTTTACGAACGCTTCGGTTTGCGAAAAGGAAGTTCGGCAAAATCTTACTTCCGTACGTGAACTCCGCATCGGGGGACTAACGCAACCGCAGCCATCTTCCCTGCTCTGACACTGGTCATGGCTTCCTCTAGTAGAGATCGCGGTCTGATCACAGATTGATTCGGTTCGCGACCAGAATCGTGAAACGAATTAAGTTCGTGAACCCAGGCACCACTGTACTGGATGTGTTATTCGTAGGATTACAAGGTGAAATTGAAATACGGGAAAATGCCTGAAAAAGAAAACAAATGCAGCCACCACATCCAAAGACTGGTGAGCTGCAATATACCGGTTGTTCTTGGATTTAGATGCACGTATGCTGGTCACGATGCTCTAGCTTCCCTTTGTTTTGGTCCGTCATCCTTGTCTAGTTGAGGATAGACATCAGAGTTTTATTCTGACTTCTCGTTCTTTCTCTGTTTCTCCATTTAGGTCTCTGGGTTCTCCTCACAGCACTGCGGTGGAACTTTGAACCGAGCATAGAAAGCGGAATTCCCTATCACAATGTCCATAACGAACACGCCGACAAGTAACGATGCTTGTCTGAGCATCGTCCACAGCTTAATGTGTCACCGTCAGGGTGGGGAGAGCGAGACATTCGCAAAGCGGGCCATTGAGAGTTTGGTAAAAAAGCTTAAAGAGAAGAAAGATGAACTGGATTCCCTGATCACCGCAATAACCACAAATGGAGCACACCCTAGCAAATGTGTCACTATCCAAAGGACGTTAGATGGCCGTCTGCAGGCAAGTCCTCTTTGTTTTCAGGAAAGCAATTCACACTATACGCGATGCACTGACTTTTTTGTTTTTTCTGCACAGTATAAATGTAGGTCACTGCAAGGGCACATAGAAGACAATTGTTTTCTCTGGGCCCCAATCACACCACGACACTGGTGTGGTGTGCGGGGCAGAAAAGTGCAGATATGCTGCATTTTACTGCAGTGCTCTGGTGCACCAGAGGTCACCATCGCACTGTGCTACTGTGGGGAGACCTTAAATGGAATGTACACTGCCAATAAAGTTAAAAAAAATAATAATAATAAACTGTGCCTTTAAGTTGTGACAACGCAAGACACTGTGGCTCCCGGCTGCCATCCAGAAGATACTAGCCGCATGGCAAAATCTGGCATGAACCTGTGCTCATGCTAAAAGACACAACTCCACCTAATCACAATGGGGCGGCCAGTTCATATCCTGGCTTTTTACCGATGCAAGAACTTGGTGCATTCATTTGAATAGGGATTGGTCTAGGTCTGGGGGGTTTAGGCTAAAGAAGAACTGTAGGGTACACTTTTTTTTTTTTTGGTATATTTTAGATTCCTAATGATATAGGAGTACATTTTGCAGTGTACCCTGGGGGGGAAGCACATGCTCCTTCACCCTGCTGTTATCAGGAACATTTGGGGGGGTAATTATGGGGGAGATGGGCGATCTAAAGACAATGCCAGTTTGCCCAGACCTGTTTCTGTTTAAAGATACAGCACTCTTATTCAGATCTGTATTCAAAACTTTTGGACTAATGGAAAAGTTTGTTTGACGTCTAAAGAAAGCTGATGAATCTTTTTCATTGTTTATAAATGCTTGTTGTTTGTGTTGTTTTTCAGAGAAGCATAGACAACCTAGTGAAGTGGGCTTAGGGCTGGTTCACACCACATCCAGTGCGTTCCCGCATCCTGCATGTACTATTTTTTCCGATCCGATGGCACCACCAGGCCCCCTCCTGCCCCAGCACGCGGCAGACTTAACTTGTGCGTACTGGCCACTAACCTTGCCAGAACGCACTGGATGTGGTGTGAACCGCCCTTTAATGCTATACTGTTGATAAGTTGAAGCCAGGCTAACTTATCACTGTGTGATTCCATAATCTTACAGGTTGTTCATATATCCTGACAGGTGGCTGGTAGAAAGGGCTTCCCGCATGTCATATATGCCCGTCTCTGGAGATGGCCAGATCTTCATAAAAATGAACTGAAGCATGTCAAGTACTGCCAGTATGCCTTTGATCTGAAGTGCGACAGTGTCTGTGTGAATCCTTATCACTATGAACGGGTCGTGTCCCCAGGAATAGGTAAGAGTCGCACGTGGGATTATATCTTATGTTGGAGGAGTTAATGTGGGATTTAAGTATTGTATTGTTCAGCCCCATTACACTGCTGAAATACCTGTTAGCTAATTCTGGTTCCCTCCCCTTCAAACATTTCATATCCAAATGCATAATCCACCTTTTGAAAATAATAAATGCACACACATTGATAAAAGAAAAAAATTTGCATTTATTATTTTTTGTGTTGCAGCTGTTATCTGTTGATCGGATGCAATGCACAGACTCTTCCCCCAGCTCTAGGTCCAGAGATATGGACTTTCTGTTAGAGGGCCTGGAGCAAGTAAACAATGGGCTACAAGTGTGGCCACATCATCACACTTTGGCAATAAATAGAAATGTCACCAGCACTCCAATCCAGGCATTCATGTTAGTGTAAGTCCATTTTATTGACAAAAGTCACATAGACGAGCGCTTTCCTGGCCACACAGGGTCCCCTTCATCAGGCTTAATAATGGAGTTGATATCATCACACTTTGTACTACGTTGAGGCCCTTGAGTCCTTGTGGCAGATGGGCTTGCTTTTCTGCAGATCCTGTGCATGGATCACACATCTGTGTAGACGTAGCCACGTACATTCATGACTAGTTCAAATGAAGACAGAAGCAAGGCTACGTGATTCAGGTAAGTGGGGAGTGGTACAGTTTGAGAGTGGGGTGGTGGGACATGTGACCATGTTTTATGTTACGCCGTAAATATGGGTGTAACATGCAACATAGCCCCAAAGCTGGACTATGATTGTAAGTGCTTCTCTCTGCATTCACCAGATTCCAACTTGGATTATTCTAGTCATTGTCCAAGAAGTTCTCCCTTTTTAAATAAAAATGTTGTAGAAGAATGATATTCACAGTAATCCCTTCTTACGTGAAGGTTTACTAGATTCATGTTTCCCAGGAATTTGACACGTCCTGGAGTGTTGGATCCTCTCCAGGATCCTTCTCTGTGCTTGTCCGCAGCTGCCACTCTTATGCGAGCAGATCCCAGCACTACCTCCCTTTGAGGCAGAGTGTGGGAGTGAACACAGACCAGTTAGGAGCCACACGGATGCTGTTTCTGCACTGGCAGGTCACATCACAGAGGAAAAGTGAGGGGACGTTAACATTGCTCAGTAACTTGTCTGAGTTGGTCTGTGAGCGTATGGCAGGACCTAGTGATAGTCTCTTCAATCGCTAAATGAAGCTTTAGAATCAACATTGCATCAATGCC